CATTGCTGTTCAGAGTCCTATGAAATGTGTTTTTATCAAAAATCAAATTTGATGATATCCTGCTTCCAACTCTTTGGTTGCCTCAAGGGGGGCCCCTATTTAGCTTCAGACTCTTTGCGTGCACACCCGGTATCGCTCATATATACTCACTAAGCCATTGTGGTTCAATGATGAAGCCCCTACCGCTGCCCCTAACATTCCATATATTTGCCAAAGGAGTAGGAAATGGGGGTGATACTGCAAACTGTTAATAGTAGATGTGTTGGGAAAAACAAGCATAAAATCAGATCAAAAATAGTACAGAACAAACCATATAAGAAAGAAAAAAAATAGCAGAAAGTTAGAAACATCATATTAAATACACTTCAAGTTTGAAATACTTTACAGAAGTTCTGATTCGTCATCTTAACAGAGGACTAGCCTTGAAGAAACTATGCCCCACCCACGGTAGCGTTGGGTCTGCACAGTACTTCCGAGGATGAGACGGCTACAGTCCAAAGAAGTGCTCTTTTCTTAGGAACATCACGACTACTTCAGTTCGCTAGAACCTCTAATACTTAATAGTTTATAGAATAATTAAAAGAAGAAGAAGAATTCATTTTTTTTGTATTTCAAATGATCAGAAGAAACCCTTTTATAAGGTTCATGAGAAACAAATATTTGAATTCCAGTTATTGCAATGTTTGTAACGTCTGTAATAAAACCTATTCAATCCTTGTAATGTTTGTAACGTACGAAACGTTCAGCTGGTTTTAAGTGAGCACATGCAAAACGTTTAAGCTCGTTTAAAGATAGTACGTGCAAAAAGAGCACGCCTCGGACCGCGTGCCCAACCTGAGTGCCTGGCCCGTGCACCCGGACCGCGCACCCGAGCCCCCGCGCACGGTCCCGCTCGCACGAGCCCGCTCGCATGGTCCCGCTCTTACGTGCCCACTCGCTTGCTCGCACGTTCGCTTATATAGCAACATAAGTGTTATAATATTAACAACTTTGTTATATCATATGTAACACGTGTGTTAATTTGAACCAATTAAAATATATTCAATTAGCCAATGTGGGACTAAAATTCACATACTACTTATTAAACATATTTTAATTTTCATCCATGGAATTTAATCATTAAATGATATCTTTCCATAAACACCCTCTAAGATTCATTTATTTTAACAATCCCCCACAATTTCATAGCTGACAGTAATTAAGATTATGCATATCATGCTTTCGGAGAAGGTATCTTCCGATTTGAACATTCCCTACAGTTATTCAATTTTATCACCACAGGCACGAAGTGAAGCTAAATCTTGAACTTGAACCTTTGATGTGGTGATATTCATTGGTAACAACACGATATAGGCTATAGAAGCAATCTTTAGGTTTGACGTATTATGGCCATGCATCCTTATCCTTTTCATGAACAATTTCAAGGAATAACCTCCTTCCTCTAATTGCGTTCACACAATTATGTTCATATAGTTGGGCATCTCCAGGGATGCACTGCTTGCATCTCGTCTTAATGACTTGATCCCATTCAGAGTCGAAACACTCTTACTATACTAGCAGTTATCAACACCTTCCAAGTATACATGATGATAGACTTAGATACATAGTATTAATCTATGATTAGGTGTTTAACTCACTCAATAGTTTGTGGTTACCAAATTGAACCTACCTTGTGGGATCTCCACTCAGATAGGTTGGGTGGCTACCGTCGATGAGTTAGGTAAGGGTTTCAGTCCCATCATCAACCTGGATTTAAGAACTAGTGACAACTCTAATCCTTTTGTAAAGAGATCTGCTATGTTGTCCTTGGACCCGACAAAATCCACAACAATTACCCCTTCATCAATAAACTTCTTCACATTATTTATTCGTACTTGGATATGACCTCAAGTTTTACGGTTATACTTTGAACTTTTAATTCTTGCAATTGTGGTCATATTGTCACAATGCACAGAGATTGCAGAAATATGCTTGTTGATCATGGGCAATTCGGACACAAGTCCCTTAAGCCATTCAGCTTCTAAACCAATAGTGTCCAAAGCGCAATCTCAAATGTAGACCGAGACAAAATGGTCTATTTGACAGATCTCTAGGCGACAACGACACCACCCAAGGTAAATACATACTTTATACAACCATTGCTACCTGAACCCATAGCAATTCAGCTAGCATCACTGTATCCCTCCATAACGGGAGGGAATCTATCGTAATGCAGTACAAGGGAAACAATTCGCTTCAGATACCGAAGTATCCTATCCAAGGCCTCCCAAGAGTCCTATTTGGACAACTAGTGTTTCTACTTAATTTAGAAACCGAATAAGCTATATCCGGTTTCGGACAATTTGCAAGATACGTCAAGCTTCCAATGATCTGAGAATATCTCAATTGAGATACAGAGACTCCACTTACATTCTTGTAGAGAGTTACTATGTAGAGAGTTACTATGTAGAGAGTTACTGAAGGATTATATGAAGTTTTGACGGGTTTGCAATTCTTATAGCCAAAATTTTCAATAACCTTCTCAACATAGTAAGATTGAGAAATAATTATACCCTCAACTGATCTCATCAGTTTTAGGTCAAGAATCACGTCAGCAACTCTCATGTCCTTCATTTCAAACTTACTACTCAAGAATGATTTAGTCTCATTGATTATCTCAATGTTAGATCCAAACAATAGAATATCATCAACATAAATGCACAGAAGAATACAAGAATCACCTCTTACTTTGCTATAAGCGCACTTATCAGACTCAATCATTTTGAAACCAAAATCAATGATAGTTGTATCAAACCTTTTATGCCATTGTTTAGGGGCTTGTTTAAGTCCGTATGGAGATTTCATAAGTTTACATACTTCTCTTTCATTTTCAGGTGCTACAAATCCCTCAGGCTGATCTATATAAATCTCTTCTTCAAGAAAACCATGAAGAAAAGTAGTTTTTGCATCCATTTGGTGGATTGTAAAATCATATATAGAAGTCAATGCGATAAGCATTCTGATTGTGATCATTCGGGCAACTAGAGAGTATGTGTCAAAGAAATTAATGTCTTCAACTTGTTTGAGCCCCTTGGCAACAAGTCTGGCCTTAAATTTTTTTATGGTTCTTTCTGGTTTCATTTTTTTTTAAATTCATTTAGACACAATTGTCCTGCACCCAGGAGGAAGATCAACTAATTCTCATGTCCTATTAGAGACAATAGAATCCATTTTACTTTTGACAGCTTCCTTTCACTGTTTAGCCTCTTTCGAGGCTATAGCGGTTTTGTAGGAAATGGATCCTCCTCGATATTGTAAGTGACAAAGTCACTTTCAAAATCTTTGACGATCCTAGCTCTCTTACTCATTCTAGGTTCATCTAAATCATTTGATTTTTCAGATTCAGATTTAGAACTATTTGCTTCACATTTGCCATCCTTTCCACATGCTCAGGAATGGAAGTTGAGATATATACTGGATTTTTATTAGAAATATTTTAAGACATTCCAGTTTTTATAGGGAAAACATCCTCAAAAAATATTGCTTCACGAAATTCAACAATTGTATTAACATCTATGCTTGGAATTTCAGAGTTGATCACTAAGAATCTCAAAGCCTCAAAGCATATGTGTTTTCTACATAACCTAAAAAAATCTACTGTCTTAGGACCTAGCTTCTTCCTCTTGTGTTCTGGGATTAGCACTTTTGCTAGACACTCCACACTTTAATGTATTTCAAGCTTGTCTTTCGCCCTCTCCAAAGTTCAAATGGACTACTTTCTTTATGTTTCTGAGGGATTTTATTCACAATACGACAAGTCGTATTTAAAGCCTCTCCCCACATATATTTAAGAAGTCCTAAATTTTCAAGTAGACTATTAATCATATCTTTTAAGGTTTTATTTTTCGTTCAGCTACACTGTTAGACTAAGGAGAATAAGAAGCAATTTCTTCATGCACTATGCTAAAAGATGGACATAGAAGAGTAAACTCATTTGATGTATATTCTCCACCTCTATCAGATCTTAACCTTTTAAGTTTCTTGCTAGTTTGGATTTCAGCTTCATTCTTAAAAATAATAAATTTTTCTTGAGCCTCATCTTTAGTTTTAAGCAAGTAAACATAACAATATTTACTATATTCATCTATAAAGGTGATAAAATATTTCTTCATGTTTTTGGTCAAAACACCATTAAATTCACAAATATCAGTATGAAGTAAACCAAGCAAGTTAGAGTTTCTATCAACTGATTGAAAATGTTTCCTTGTTTAGTTGTTGCACATACTTGACATTTCTTACTATGATCCAAAGAATGTTGGAATCATATTAAGATTCATCATTCTTTTTACAGAATTAAAATTAATATGACCAAGATATTTGTGCCAAATATCAAATGATTCAATATTATTACTAACATAATAATCAAAAACAGAAATTTTATTTGTTTCAGAACTAAGAACAGGTTCTGCTCTAACCTATACATCTATCAGAATCATAGCCTTTAAAGATAAAAGATCCAACATGTGACATAACTACTTTATTACATTTAACAAAAAACTCATAACCTTTCCTAACTAAACATGAATCACTGATAATGTTGCGTCGAACAATAGGAACATGATGCACCCTGTGTAATGATAGAACATATGATGCACGGATATGGATACGGGACACGGATACGACACGGACACAGATACGGGATACGGTAAAATCCAAAAAAATAGGATACAGGGATACGACAAAGATTTTTTTTTTAAAATTATTATTATATATAGAAAAATTTATAATAACACCACTTAACACGAGGAACTAATTGGTAAGAAAACTAAAGTCTTAACAGACTAATAAATAAATAGTGAAAGTGTGAGGGCCTATTTGGCAATTAAAGATGAGTTAAGAGACCAATATGCAGTTAACCCATCGGTAATCTATCCAACGGTTGGAATTAATCCAAATATCATCTAATGGTTGCGACAGGCCTATCTGCCATGTATATAAACTGCTTCTAGGGTTTAAGTGTTCCTTCATCAGCCGCAACTCTCAAGCTCTCAAAATCCTTGGCGTCTCGAGAGAGAAAGAGAAAGAGAATCAAAGAGAGAGAGACGAAGAGATCGATCGATCGAGAGAGAGAGAGAGACGAGATCGATGGACGAGGACGACGAGATCTGAGAGAAGACGAGCGACGATATCTGAGAGAAGACGAGGATGAGCGGCGACGGGACTCAGGTAAGTGAAAATATTAGGGTTTCGTTTTGGGTTTGGGTTTCGGTTACGGGTTTTGTCTTTCAGCAATTTTTCTTTTTGTTCGGCAGGACTCAAATCTGATCTTATGGTTTCTTTGACAAAGGGATGTTATGGTTTCGTATTACGAGCACGAGATCTGATCTCGACGAGGACGAGCGACGAGTGGAGCCTATCCGAGGAGCACGAGAGCAGCGACAGGACGAGCGACGGGTGGAGCACGAGATCTGATCTCGACGAGGACGAGGCCGACGAGGACGAGCACGAGATCTGAGAGAAGAGATCGATGGATGAATTCGAGGACGAGCGACGGGACTGAGGTAAGTGAACATTAGGGTTTTTGGCCTTTTGGGTTTAGGTTTCGGGTTACGGGCTATCTTCATTCATCGTTTTTTCTTTGTTCGGTGAATCCAAGCCGTATCTCGGCCCCTGTTTGACCGTGCCCCCCTCAGTTGACCCGTGTTGACCCGTGTCTGACACGTGTCGTGCACGAATCCGTGTTTGATTCGTGTCAGACACGGATTCATGGCCTTCAGGGGAGTATCCGTGCTTCATAGGATAGAACTCTCCCTGAAAGAAACTTTAGGTCCACTCGTCCATATCCTAACACTTTAGATGCAATTTGGTTCTCCATCTTCACAGTATTTTTATTTGCAGGCTGGTAAGAAACAAACAATAATTTGTCAACACAAATGTGTACGTTTGCACCAGTGTCTATCAACCATTCATTTGGTTCATAAATATTTAGTAATTCAGGGTTAATTGAAACATACCCTTCTATGGACCCATTAGGCTCAGTCATAACCATGTTAACCTGAGGCACACTAGTGGACCCTGGATTGGCTTTAGCTTTTTTGTATGATAAGCTTTAGCCCAATATCCAACCTGTCCACAGTTCCAACATGGTTTGTTTGCTTTTGGTTTCTTTTGGATCTTAGATTTGGCTTTGATTTTGTCATCTAGTTTGCTATTATGTTTGTTTTTAAGCTTTTTCCCAGAAGTTATAACATTTGCTTTAAGTTGGTGCTCAACAAGCATAATATATTTCTGATTCTTATGCTCTTCCTCGATATCTATGGCAATCATCAAGTCATCAAGATTTATTTTTTCTTTACGATGCTTGAGAGACATTCCAAAAGTCTCCCAAGAGTTAGGAATTCTCGATGATTGTCATAACTTGAAATTTTCAAGAAGCTCCATTTCAGCTTCTTGAAAAGCATGGAGAATGAACAGAAGTTCATGTGCTTGTTCTGTTACTGATTTACCCTCGACCATTTGAAACTTTAAGAACTTGGACACATAATATTTTTCAAGACCGATGTCTTCAGTATTATATTTTCTGTCCAGTTCATCCCATAATGCATTTATAGTGGCCGAAGAAGAACAATAGACATCAAAGAGCACGTTGGACAGAGCCAACAAAATGCATCATCTGGATATTTGGTCCTTCTCCGTCCACTGTGCAATGTTATCTACACTATTAGGATATTTTTCATCTAGTTTTGGGCATTCTATTAATATCATTGCCAACAGCCCCTTAGTTATAAGCCAGATCTTCATACGTTATTGTCAACGTTTGAAGAACTGACCAGTGAACTTTTCAAGCATTCCAGACATGTCCATTTTAGAGGCATATGAATCAGATCCAACTCCAGAAGCAGGCGACATAACTAAAATTAAAATTAGTTTCTTCAAGACTGTTGGGAAAAACAAGCATAAAAACAGATCCAAAATAATACAGAACAAATCATATAGGAAAGAAAGAAAAGAGCAGAAAATGAGAAACATCATATTAAATATATTTCAAGTTTGAAATATTTTACAGAAGTTTCGAATCGTCCTCTTAATAGAGAATTGGACTTGAAGAAACTATGCCTCATCTACGATAGCGTTGGGTCTGCATAGTACTTCCGAGGATGAGATGACTGCAGTCCAAAGAAGCGCTCTCTTCTTGTGAACACCACAACTAGTTCTTCAGTTCGCTAAAACCTTCAGTATTTAACAGCTTATAGAATTATTAAAAGAAGAAGAAGACATGAGATTTTATTTTTTTTGTGTGTTTCAAATGATCAGAAGAAGCCTTTTTATAAGGTTCATGAGAGACAAAGATTTGAATTTCAGTTATTGCAATGTTTGCAATAAAACCTATTCAATCTCTGTAATGTTTGTAACGTATGAAACGTTCAGCTGGTTTTAAGTGAGCACATGCAAAACGTTTAAGTTCGTTTAAAGACAGCACGTGCAAAAAGAGCAGCACACGCACCGGCCCGCGCGCACATGCCCGCTCTCTTGCTCGTACACTCGCTTATATACCAGCACAAGTGTATAATATTAACACATTTGTTATACTATATATAACACGTGTTAATTTGAACCAACTAAAATGCATTCAATTAGCCAATGTGGGACTAAAACTCACATACTACTTATTTAAAATGCATTCAATTAGCCAATGTGGGACTAAAACTCACATACTACTTATTAAACACATTTTAATTTTCATCTATGGAATCCAATAAAACTCACATACTACTTATTAAACACATTTTAATTTTCATCTATGGAATCCAATCATTAAATGATATTTTTCCATAAACACGGTTAAGATTCATTTATTTCAACAAGGTGTCCCTGAATGGTGACCATAACCACACATATTCTTCGATCTGGATTGATATGATACCTGATCTATAACCGCTCTCCTTGCTTTCTTTTCTTTTGAAAACATTCTCTCTCATTTTGGCGTATGCTAATGTTTCCAACTCATCTATCTCAGCACTGTTGTAAGGGAGGATACAATCATACGACAGGAGTCAAGAGTATATCTTGTCTGGATGACCATTTTTTTTTCCAGCTACGTATCCCCATAGCTAGTCAGAATCTTGCTAGGATTCATTTTCATTCTAATATGAGTGATGCTAGTGTTTGAGAGAGGATGAGTGAATATAGCCACTGATGCTAAATGGTTTTTTTTTTTTGAGAAAAAGGATGGATTACTATATAGTAATCCAGCCAGCTAAATATAACAGGTTGTTACATATAAAATGCACATTTTCCAACCAAAAAATGTGCACAAAAAGTCAACTGAAAATACAAAAGCACCAAAACCCTTTTGTACAAAGATTAAAACTCCCAAAAGAAAGCTTAACTACCACAAAAGAAGTATCATATCCAACAACAATCTTACTCATCACCATATAAACTAAAGCACTGAAGATTGAGGTTAATCCAGTTGAATCACGATACTGTTCTCCATTACGATGCTAAATGGTTATATACATACATATTGTAAATTGATGTAATATACACAGCATACGTATGCATGCGCATCATGATTACACTTTTTTACATTGGGAATGTTGAAGGATAATGTATAACATCTGGAAAAAAGATTCCAGAAAGAGCATTACATTCGTACTACAGTTAATTATTCATATCTACCATCGTAAATACATGTCAAATTGCTGGGACTTTTGCTGGGAGATTTATATTCTGTAATATAAAAAGGTTGAAATTGATGCTTATTTATTATAGGAAAAGAGTTTTCCTTTACTGGTGATAGTAGAAAAGATAGGTTATCTATAAAAGACTACTGGTTTTTGTGGAGGACCTGAAAGCAGTTTTCTAACTGGATGCGTATAGGTGCTAGCTGATTGATTGGACAAGAATAAGATAAGTGGTTCGCATGTACTTACATTAGTTATATAGATAAGATTGAGATCTATAATAGTATAACGATCTTCTGTCAAGCAAGAAACATAACCTCTAATCGGGCTATTAGACCTGAGGTTGTCAATTCGGAAGAGATTGTGATCCCTGACATGAAGAAGCCTGAGGTCTATACTGATTTTTGTTTCAGTGTGATGATGTATGAAATTATAGTGTTTGGAGTTCGTTAGCAACACTGGACACCGCAGGAGGTAGATCAATAGAAAGATACTCAAACTAAATATACATGGTCATGACTCGTGAGATATACCTGGACCAAATTTATAGTGAACTTTTAGTTGTTCCAAAATTTGCAATTTTCTTGGACAGGAAAAATATGTGAATTTTCTTTTTCTTTTGGTACTCATATGGATTCTAGTACTGGATTCGATTAGAGTGTGACCAAAAGGGCTGTACTGTTTCTTAACATTATCTCCTGTTGGTAAAATACTCTTGATTTAGATAGAAACAGAGTATTTTCTGAACTAGAAAGAATACTGCCTGTTGAACTCGATTTCATACAGCTTGGTTAATGACAGGTATATGACGTGACAAAATATCTGGACGATCACCCGGGTGGAGATGATGTTCTCCTCTCTGCAACTGGTATTTTCACAAACTCGATATTGAAAATCTTGGCTCACTGCATTTAAAATATCATTTTATGATATCCCCATCTTCAGGGAGAGATTCAACCGAAGATTTTGAAGATGCTGGCCACAGCTCAGATGCTAGAAAGCTCATGGAGGAGTTTTTCATAGGAGAGATTGACACAGACTCAACCGCCATCCCAGAGCTCGAGATATTTACAAAGGATCATCAGAAGTCTTCAGACCTTGCTAACAAGTTTCTGAACAAGGCAGTTCAATACTGGGCTTTCCCCGCGGCAGCCATTGGGATCCCAATTGTAGTAGCTGCCCTCTTATACTCCCACAAGAGATAATAAGTGTTTCTGTATTTGTTATTTTGTCAAATTCATCTATATGGAGATGATTGACACTGATTTCTATTTGTCCATCTCACTGCTGGTCTGAATCAGAGATTAGAGTCCTTTAATGACAATGAAATTTGAAGAATGTATGCTACATGCTTGAGCACAAAAGTTACCTTGGTGACATATTGATAGCTCATAACGTTTTAGTTTGAGAACCCTTGCTGCCTTTGTCTTCCGTTTCTTTTTTAAGTTACCAAATTTCTATCCTAAAGTGTTCTTTTCATGATTATTTTTCATGAAAATGGCAAATATGTATTGATTGCGCCTCTTCTCACATAAAACTACTTTAATCAATGAAAATAAATGTTTTACGGCTCATGTTCTGGATAACAAAAAAAATAAAAAAAAAATAAAAAAAACTGAAGGCGAGTGCGATGACTTAACACGATTTACGTTCTCGGGGAAGAAAATCTTGCTTTAGACATGTTTCTCATATGGTTGTTAAGAATACGGAAACAGGTTTTATCACCAGGAAATTCCATTGTTTAAAATAGTAATAATAATAAAAAAGTTCAGGACGACCAGCTAATTTCCCAAATCTAGATGCCCTGTGCTTGCATCAAAATGCGTTGTTACCCTCAAATCTAGATGAGCTGTACTTGCAGTAACCTGTAACATAACTTTTGCTGCTGGTTTCTTGATGATCGATCTTGTTCATCTTTGTGGAATGCGAGATACATGTACAGTACAACTGCCGTGTTACCGCCCGCCGTCTGCATACATGATGCATTTTGCTTAACATTGTGATATAAGACGTACAAATCGATGGATATCTATTTAAATTCGGCGCAGAAAGGAGGAAGGGTACTAGACTGAACCATATTTACGAGGATAGCTGATTCCCCCGTTGCTTCATCATACAAGTTCAATGGCCTTCTGTTAATAGAGACCAGTTGAGATTTTAATGATGTTCTAGCTGCGGGGGGATAAACCGGGCTCAATCTAGAGTTCGATGGGTCTTACACAGAAGTTAGGAATCAATTTTAGATAAATGTGATCCATTCAAAAATAACATTGTATACTATTCCAACTCTTCCACTGCGGGCATGGCAGCTAAACATGATGATTTCATTGCATTTAGATAGACAATGATCTCCAGGAGGTTCGTCTATCGGGTACTCTCGTTGTTGTTTCCTGTAATATTCATCAGTATAGCATGATATGCAAACGGTCAAACATGACGCAAATCAACATTCAATTTGGAAGCAAGTTGCGGAGCGCAGCTAAGTGGCGACCAACTAATGACCGCACTGTTGGGAAATTACGCAAATTCTCCTATAATCAGATTTACGAGAAAGCAAAATAAATATGGAATAATAAGACACGCAAATTTAACGTGGTTCAACACAAAATTGCCTACGGCCACGTGCTGCGGTAGATCTTTCACTAAGGGGAGAATTTACAAACACTCTCACAAATATTCACAACCAAATTTCACTCTGAAAATTACTCTCAATTTTCTCTCACTGAGTGTTGCCTCTCAATTTTTCTCTCACTTAGATTGATGCCCAGCACTCTCTCTCTCTCTCTCTCGGATGCTTTATATAGAAAAAACATCACCTTTATACACCTTTCTTTTCTCTCTTTGTCAACAAAACATTCTCTCTTTGTCAACAAAAGAAGCTCATCCTTTCCCCTTTTTTGTTATCTTGCTCCTTATGTGGCTTGATTTTGTTGACAAAAAACAAGGCAGCCACAATTTTTCGGTGACTTTCAGTGCGTGAATATTTGACCAACCTGTGGTGGTGCACAATTGAAGTGGTGCACAACTAAGATGGAGCATAGCTAACCAGGTGCGCAGCTGATATGGCGCATAGCTAATGGGGGCGCCCAACTAAAAAGGGTGTACAGTAACTAAGTGGCACATGACTAAAGCGGTGCACACGTAAGTGACACATAAGTAAAGTGGTGCACAACAAAAGTTCTAAAAAGATATGCAGAGTAGTTGGTCACGGTATGACAACGCAATAGCGCACCCGTGCGAGACAAGTTCTCAATAGTGTTTAGCTCACAGGTTTGCTGTGTCACGCTCCAAAACTGTAGCGAAAATTCATAAATACGGGTTATGCAACAACGACGACTCATGCAAAAGACAATTCCCGTGCACGAGTAAAGCCTAGCACTTCATATCACATAGTTTAACTCTCATGGCTGCCGAGGTATACCCTCACGCCACAGAGGATGGCGCTCAAGTTAACCTCACACCAAGCGTATACCATTTGATCTTTGACCTCATGTTAGCACCCCCTTAGTCTGCCTCAAAAGTTGGGTTTTTTAGCTTGTCTTGTCCACGAGGGGATCCCCCTCTGAAGAGAGGTGATCCACATCGAAGGAACTCCCTTTAGCTCCAAACTCGAGTAGTAAAGAACAACTCAACAACAATGACGTCCCCGTGGCCAACGGAGCAAGGAGCATAGTCTCCCTCGGCACACTTTCCCCGAATCAAAATACTTGTAAATTGTAATTTTTGTTTTTTAGTCAAGAAGAGCAACGCAAAACTTCATACTTTGTGACTCTTTTTGTCCAGGATACGGTGTTTATCAGATGATGACAGAAGTACATTCATTCAGAGTAGAGATTTGCTGTGATGAATCTTAACGGAACATGATCTCGTAATCCGGCATCATAGATTAACAACACAGCGCAGCCACACCTGAGATGATTGTATCTTGTAGCAGTATTAGGACACAAGCCTCTTTAACTTCTACCAGTTCAACTAAGAAGCCGATGAAGGATAAAGCTTAAATTACACTAAATGCACACGCTGCCGAAACGAGTTTTGAGTTGTGACAGGTAGGTGAGGAAACAAACACAGTTCATAGAAGACAAATTGTACAAATGCTCAACCCTACTTCCCCTGATGGAATGCAGATACGATCCATGAGCTGTATGCTCCTAACCTTGTAGATTCTCATGTAGTTGGAGATAATTGCCTCAGTTTTGCTTGTAACACAAGCCCCACTTCGTCTGCCATGCTTTTCTTCTTAGAAGCAACCTGCATAATTGATTATAAATTTAATAACTTGTTGCAGGAAGCACAGTTCTCAACAGTCATTAGTCAACAGAAACCCTGCATGAGTATATATAGCTTAAGGAAGATGGATACTTGGGTAACAAGAAAGATTCAATGCGTCGACCAACCTTAGCTTTTTTGATAAGAGTAGTGAAAATCTTATTGACTAATTCGATCATTCTCATGTTCGGCCAGAAAGAGAACACCATGTACCCATAAGCTAGTTTATAAGAAACAGATAAACAAATTTGTTTTTTGATATTACCAATCCAGTAGATTCTTTTACAATCAACTTAAGAAGCAGAAAAGCATACCCTACAAGCTTTGTGCCCATAATTCGTTAAGGTTATAAAAGAATAGATTACAGAACTCATCATCCCGCAGTAGGTTAAGCTTAATAAAGACAGACATTGTTTTCTACTTATATTAAGAGAGCTGATGGGAAATACTAGCTATCATGCTTACTTTCCAGAGCAGATGAGCAGTCTATCTCTTGTTTTGACTCAATGTAGAAGTTCAAGAACTATACTATTTTAGCAGGGCATGTTGTATATCTAGCTTTAAAAGTTCAGTGAACTAAAGGAGACAATGTAAATCAAAATGTAGCAAAAGCATTCATCATCTCATCAACCAAAATGGGTGTTTACACACTTTCCAAAAGCAATTAGGAAGTTGAGTAATATCTATGATTATCCAATGAGACAGTTAATACTAGGGATTAGCACAATCACTTCATGCGTATACCGACTGACATGCNTATCCCCCCCCCCCCACCCCACCCACAAAAAAAAATCAACAGTTGCCCAGTGGGGGAAAAGGAAGAAATAAAGCTGGTAATCTCCTATGCTATTTGTATTCAAAGCCCTAAGATACTCATGCAACTTTAAAACCCCCTTGCATCTTGCCAATTTGGAAACATATATTGCAATTCCTTAGTAATCTAATAGAACAGGACATACTAGACATTAGTACTTGGTAACAAACAGTAATGACGTGCCACTTCATTCTGCCACTTCATATGAAAATGATGCAGAACTAATAACCAGGAACTTGAGCAAACTTCAAATGAGGAATGAGAGCCAACATCACAGCATATTAAGGGGAAAAAAGATTCTGCCATGCTCCGCATGAACTTAAATGTAAAACCATTGTCAAAGCAAGATAGTGCGGAAAAACGCTCAAAGAAAAGTTAACGAAACATGCAAATATTTATAGCATTTTCTATTAACTTTGCTCTGGGGATCCTTCATACTGCATGAGATCACTATAATAAGGATGGTCCATGAAAGAACTCCCAAGATAACTGAAAGTTTGCTCACAAGCACTCTTCAAGACGTGAGAAGTATCCCTAATCGCCTTAACCTCTATACCTGTCTCCCTCTTCTATGCTTTTCCATCCAAAATCCATCCAAAACCATGCAGGTTTGGAGGTCAACTAGAGTAGAAAACTTAGATTTGTAAATCAATGTGTCAAACATATTGCAGATTGAGACTAAAGAGAAGCTATCAATAATTGGGTAAATTTCAAAAAATCTACCAATACTTTGGGGCGTTTCCCATGATCCCCCCCCCCAATTAAAAAAACAAATTTGTGCTTCCAATTAAACACCAAAATACTTTTCCAACATAACCCCCACCCCTAAAGTGATGAAAATGACCCTCGGACAAAAACAATCCTTTTTCATTCTTTTTAATAAATCTTTCGCAAAACAAACCCTCACAATCTCTCAAAATTTGTTGCCGGCAACAGGTGGGTGGGTAGGAATTGCTTTTGTTTTAAAAAATTATTAAAAATAATGGCTATTTGTTTTTTTTCCTCTGAGCATTTTCATCATTTTGGGGTTATGTAAAAGAAGTTTCGATGTTTAGTGGGAAAAATGGAGGGTTTCGTGAGGAATGCCACAAAGTATCATTGGGTTTTGTGAAATTTACCCCTAAAGTTTCTCAGAGTTTGGAAGGGAAATGAGGACAGGTTTGCTATAGGATAGTGCATTCGACCAGCAGGCACATATGAACACAAGGATCAAAACTGAGTATAATTTTCAACCAGCGTGGTGTATTACCATAAGGAATTTCATGACGACAAATCCTGAAAATTACCTGAAAAGATGAGAAATTTATATCTAGGCTAGACCATGGAAAATGAAATAATAAACAAAATTTCTTTTAACTATTGAATTTGCGGAATAATATATATTCATGTTTATCATATAATCAGTAGTAACACAAATTATAGCTGACTGAAACAATGTCAGCGAAAAGAACTAAAGATTTCAAACCTGCGCTTTCAGATAAATATTTCATTATTCCAAAATACAGATAATATAAGCTCCTCTAAGCATAAATGTGATGGGAAGGATATTGCTGAATGAAAGCACTGGGTTTTTACAATTCATACCTCTATAAGCTCTTCGTAATTAGATTTCAGCAAATTGATTTTTCGTTCACAATAATTCTTGCCTTCATCCATTGTTTTCTGTACCAAAGAAATCATCAATATCAAAAGATACATGCAGACTTTGTTAAGACATACACGCGCGCGCGAGCATGTGTACAAAGTAACCATATTTTGTGCTGAAAGTCATTCGTAACATTATATGAAGTATGGACTAACACGATATACAAGGAGTAATATTGGGTATGTAAAAAAACCACAAATGCAGCATATGATGGAGTAATACGTTAATCCAAGAGGAAATAGGGTTTAGCGACCACTGTTTCACCACATTTCAACGAGGTTGTTTGCAAAAGATATCAATGCCATGTCAGAAATATGGGGAGATTGTCTTAAGTTTCCTATTAGATTTTTATTACGAAATCTCCAGGCTAAAGTAATATCATCGTTATTCTCCAGCTAGAGGGTAGTGTTCTGATGGTGCACGTTAAAGGGCGATCTCTTTCACGTGCGCGCTGCTCAAGTCTTTGAATTTTCCGGCGAGATGGGAGGAAGCGAAAGGCAGTGGTGGCTACTCCAGTTCCGGCGGCTACTAAGGTTTCGTCTACGGTCGATGATGGTCGTGATTTGGAGTTCAGACTGGGGGGAACTGTAGCTCAAATTTTTGCTCTTTCTAGGGCGAATTCGATAGAAGCTGTTGCTCCTTCGTCTAGATTCAAGGATCAAGCTATCTTGGATGGTTCCTCTGGATCGGGGAGCTTGTCTACTGTTAGATTAGAGAATCATGGTGAAAAGGGGAGTGGGGTTCTGGAGGATTTGGGGATTTCTTGCCCAGTTGGGAATAATAACAGAGCAAATGTGAATGGAGAGGGATCTAGGAGTAAGAGTCCAAGGTGGGTGGATTTAGCTGATCAAGAGGAATTGCAATCTGATGTGGAGCCTGAAGTTGACAATGACTCACAAAAGGAGCATCATTCAGCTGTGGATGCTGAACTTGATGATCACACAAAGGATGGACAGAAAGAAACCTTAAATGGATTGGCGTAATTTGTCAACCGATAATCACAAATACACCAATTCATTTTGAATGAAGAAGAAGGGATAGAGGGTTCTCGGCATTGGTCTACATCTTTGGTGGGAAATGTTCAGGGTTTGGCTGCTGGCTTTAGATCCACGGAGAACTATGTTAAACTGCATTGAGAGAAATTTGGCAAGCAAAAAATATTAGTGATAAAACCTGGAACGTTCTTGCTCCAACTTGCTTCTGGTGAGGAGAGAAAATGTGTTAGGAGTGTGGGCCTTGGTTCTTTGGAGGGAAACCCATATGGCTGCAGCCTCGGGAGTATTGATTTTAATCCTGATAATCTTGAGATGAATGTTTTTCCTATTTGGATCCAATTATCATCAGATTTAAGGTCGAATCTATGGATCGCTACTGTATTTCTAAGATTGCAAGTGTTGCGGGTAAGCCTGCTTGCACAGATAAATTGACAACCACAAGAGATCGATTGGCTTATGCCAGAGTTCAAAGGGCCTCATGCGGTAGTCTTGATTGAAGCTAAAGATAGTTCAAGAACACAAGCCAAGGCGGTGTAATGTATGTAAGAAGCTGGGTCCTTGGGAGGTTCAATATTTCAAAAAAAAAAAAGAAATTTGTTTGGGTTTCAAAGAAACAAGTAGCTCAACCTAAGACTACCATATGAAATTAATGATTCCTACCATATGAAATTGCGGTAGTAATAAAGGTTCTTTTTTTTTTTAATGAGGGGGAAGGAAAGCGGGGGCGAACCTCGATGAAATAGCCGGTGCCGACGTCGACGAGGACCCTGTCGGCGTCATCGAGGGTGCCGGGGACGTAGAGGGAGGCGGTGAGAGGGACCAGCCATCCTTTTGCTGAGGGGCTGCCCGGAGAGGTCGTTGAGGGCCGGAGGGAGGCGCCGCGCGAGTCGGGACGGAGGCGGTTCCTGTGATCTTGTTGCAGGCTGCCTCAGATATTCACCTCCAGATCGACTGCTCTTCACCGCTTTTCAGCTGCTCACGCGCACTCAGCTGCGATAATCGGAGACGACGCTGTTCGACGCCGCCATCGCGCCATGACCGCGCTGTATATTTCGTTCTTGGGCGGCGCGCCTGTTTTTTTTCGGAGGCAGCGAATAAGTCGGCAGGCAGTGCAGACAGGCGGCGAATGAGAGGACGGGAAGCCGCGGCGAGGGTTTTGTCGACAGATTGAATGCGATTCGTTGCAAAATAAGGCACGCCCGTCATTTCTGCGTATCTTAAATAAGCGTGACATAGAACACAACATTAGATTCTTTTTACGGTAATTTAGTTGGTAGTAAAAAATATTAAAATGTCTGTTGACGCATTTTCACTTCCTACTAAAATTGGCCTAGGCACACCCCCAACCACAACCTCAATCACAACTCTTCTCTCTCATTTTGCCGTACCCACGTGGCACGGGTTCCATATGCGAGAGTTTGTGAAAATTTTTAAAATCCCTATGGGAACCCCGGTGCACATCAGTTAACAAATGATGAGAGGGGTGATACGTGCCCTGATGTGGTTGAGGAGTACGTGGTTTGCGCGCGGGTGATAGCCCTTTCACTTTTCTAACTAAAAAATATTACAGAAATAAATCCGATATAACATTTCATACCTGAAATAAACTTTGTCATTACTTGATCTGTTATGAGATCGGGAGAGCATGTGTTTGTGACCGTCGCCAAAGAGTTCGCGAGTGAGCCAGCTCGCGCGTAGACGAGAGGATCTAGTGTCGGAGTCCCTTGAAATGATCAAATAGCTTCATTGTTGAAATGCAGCGAATTGCTTCAGAATTAAAGTGCACCCGATTTAAACGTATCTTGCTGGGACGCGCATACTAGGTCTCGCTCATAAGACATTTTGCAGTTCGTAATTTTGCTGAAAATTGTTCAATTTATCCGCTAGCTTTTAGTCCCTGTTTGTACGCACATAAACTGCTGTAGGTAGAGTGTTTCTAGATCCAAACACGCTGAAGCGGTTTATCTGGGCATCTTGTTGATGCAGAACCCACAAAGGAAGGTATCTATGGTTTCATGGGTCAGTTCTCTAGGGACTCCGAGATCTTAAGACGTACATCGCCGTGGCAGGTGTCTTTAGTGTTAACTTGACAAAATTTAGGCTACGGTCTAGTTAGTTAATGCAGACAAACACTGAATAGGGTGGTCAGTGTTGCCCGACTTATATTTGTTCTCCTTGAAGATTCTTTTAACGTACAATACGATCATCGCGTACTACATCAAGGGGTACTGACCGTATGCCTCTTGGCATTAAAGCGGCTAACAATTAACTAGTATGGTTCAGTCTTCCGAATATTCACGGAAAGATCTCTAGTCTTCAACTTACGGCCCTACATTTTGGTAATCGACGTGCCTGGTGTTTGTGGCCGTTTATGGTGTCTGGCTTTTCTGTTAACAAAAACGCGATTGAGAAGTCCGATTTGTTTTTCTGCTTCCAAATAACACACCAACCAGTTTTTAACGCTTACTTCTCAAAACAACAAAAACCTTTAATAGCCCCTACATTTACCAGTTCCCCAACAACATCAAACCCAAGCCCTTTCACATACTGATCTCATCCTTTACCCACCGTCAGCCTCATCGCCGTCGCCGTCCCGCGACCACAGTCGCACCAAGGGGTTTGTCGGGTCTTCGTTGTCACGCCTATCCCATTCGTTTATCATCGCCCAAAATCTCATCCAATGCCGCCGTCGCTACGAGTTCCCCCAAAGACCCGCGGTTGCCCGGTCGCCGATCACGCCAGATCCTTCCGGCTGTCAGTCGCCTCGTCTCCAGATCCCGTCGTGTCATCCCGTGGATCCTCGTCACCTCGTTTCTCAACATCGTCCAAAATATGTAAGACCGTTTCCGTGGATCCCCGTCGCCGTCGCCTAACCCACCTTTCCTTTTTCCCTGAAAATTGTTGAATTGTTATTGGTTAATTTTTTCAAGTAGTTCGTTGTTGTTCCTACCAATCTGTATCCTAAAATGCGGCCCGATTTCTAGAGAGACTATTCCTGATCTAAGATCTTTTCGAAACGGATACAGTAAGTCTCCATCCCATACCCTTCTCGCACTAAGCCAGAAAGCAAGAGGGAATCACGGAGCAGCAAGACTGTCCGTCAAAGCCTCTCGTCCAAAACGGTTGATTTTCGGAAATATGCTCTGCGCAATAGTCCGACTAAGTATGACACGTCTACCCTAGTGTAGATATCCGTCGACACAATTGGCAAAACCGACCTCCTAGCCCGAATAGGCAGTTGCAGAATGTCATTCTTGGCAGACAATAATACTCAGCAGCGAACAGGCCTCAAAAGATTATTGCCAGGATCAAAGCTGAAGAACAAAGTAAGTAGGATCAACCTGAGCAATCAGGACCAAGTACCCAGCCTTCTATCCTGAGCAATCGGACCAAGCCCAAATCTCCTTCAGTCAGAAGGGCGGAAGATACTACGGCACTAAAAAGACTAATCCTCTTTCAGAGGATGCGGCGTCTCCAATAACTATCATGTTTAACTCGTTAGGATAGTTGGCCTTACTAGGCGACGAGCTGTGTCAGTGTGTCATGTTCTACTCCTTCCCCCTTGCACTTTGTTCAACTAAGGACTGGCGGGTTGGTTAATTTTATAGTCATTGGATCTATGAATAATAAATTTTCTGAGTTATCTATGTTCAAATGGAAATAACTTTTGTCAACCATAAAAATCCACAAAAATATTCACGTTAACAGTTACCTCTGATAGTCCATCAACCTTGCCAATCAATTCTTTAATAAGATCGGCGATGTCCACAAAAGTATTACCTTAAACAGATATTACCTCTGATAGTCCATCAAACTTACCAATCTTCTTCAATAAGATGGCCATGTCACTCAAAACTATCATGTTAACAGTTACCTTCTGATAGTCCCTCAACATTGCCAATCCTTCTTCAATACAGATGGCCCATGTCCACAAAACTATCACGTTAACAATTACCTCTGATATTCCATCAACTCTGCCAATTCTTCCTTCAATAAGATGGCATACTGTCTATAAAACTATCACGTTAACAGTTACCTTTGATAGGTCCCTCCAAGCTTGCCATCCTGTCTTTTCAATAGGGATGGCATGGTCCACAAAACATAATCACATTAACAATTTACCTCTGATAGGGTCCCTCAACTTGTCAATCATCCTTTCAATAGGGATGGCAGAGTCCACAAAACTATTCATTGTTACAGTTACTCTGGCATACGTCCATCAACTTGTCATCTTCTTCAATAAGCATGGCCATCAACAAAACTATCACCGTTAACAGTTCACCTCTTGCATTAGTCCTCTCAACTAGCCAATACCTCTTCAATAGGATGGCAGCGTCATAAACTCATCACAGTTAACAGTTACCTCTGAAATAGTCCCTCAACTTAGCCAACCCTCTTTAATATGCGATGCAGGGTTCACAAAACTATCATGTTAACAGTTACCTCTGATAGTCCATCAACTTGCCAATCTTCTTCAATAGGATGGCATGTTCTAAAAAACTTATCACGTTTAACAGGTTACCTCTGATAAGTCAAAACTCATCAGATAATGGCACCCTACCTGGGTGATGTGGACTCTATTCTGACTTCACTGTGATAGTGCCCACTTAGGTGATGTTCTTGTCTACCTCTTTTTATTCCCCTGCTAAGTCTTAATCAAGACTGCGGGAGTTTGATACTTGGAATTCCACTGCAGATTAGAGTAACGAATCTTTCACATCGTCCGAGTTAACATTACACTTCTGACGATCATCATCCCCACAGAGTTATGCATTTCAGTTTGACCATTCACTCCCATTTCTCACGTTAACAATACACCTCTGATAATTCAACTTATTAATCCTTGACTAATAAGGAGGGGGGCGGTTGTATAAGTCCTCAATAATTGCTCAAATCGCCAATTCTTCCCCAGCAAGACACTAATGTCTTCAAAAATACTAATCACTTCTGATGCCATAAAACTCACCTAAGCAAGTCTCCCCAGCGAGACGCTAATCCCCAAAATTCTTGTGCAAAGTTCACAAGTACAGTCCAAATTCTTGTCACCGTTTAATAATACACCTCTGACAAAACCCAACTTATCAATCCTCGTCAACGAGGATAATAAGTCCCCAAAGTTGCTCAATCGCAACTCATAAATCCTATCACAGTTAACACTACACCTCTGACAAAACAACTTATCGACTCTCAGTCAATATAGAGCAATAAGTCCTCAAAATTGCCCGCATCACAAATTCTTCTTGTCAGTAATTATCACACTCTTGAGAAAATTCCACTTATCGACTCTCTTCAATAGACGATAGCCATCCACAAACCCTGTTCAAGTTAACATCCACACCCTCTGCAATACCAAATCAACTTATTCGACTTCTCATTCAATAGAGCAATGATCATAAATATATCTGTTTAGGTTAAACATAACACCTTCTAAACAGATCAACCCCCCTAATAAACTTGTTAATTCCTTTTTTTAACAAGAATAGCAAGTTTTTATTATAAATCCCAGCGGCATTAAAGAATTTTCATGATTATCCTAGTGCATAACTAAGCAAAATTTTATGAATTTCACTCTAAGTTAAAAATTCATGCCAACGTTAATACTACACCTCTGGCCGCTTCTAACTTTTCTTTCGGTGTTTCAAGTCACACTAGGAAAGCGTAACAACACCATAAATCCATTACCTTCACGCATGGGGGGCTTTATCTACAAATCCCACTATTTAGAGGAGTAAGTCTACGCCTAACACGCCCAAATTTAGAATGATAAGTTACGGTTAATCGTTTTGCCTGGTGAAAAAAGACACCAGGATTCATGCCTTCGGGGGATTATATCTCGACCCTAAACAGAGGATAAAGCCTGCATCATTTAACACAGTTTTCCTGCCGCGGTGCTTCAGTCTGTTCCGCGCCGGGCGCACAGAACATACCCTGATTCAACGAACCTCCACCCATTTCAAACTCCAACACTCCTGGATCTAAGACATCATCCCGCAGTTCTCATCCTAGTGTGACCTGCGCTGATGTTAGTGGAATTGATTTTGATGCTAGATTTATCGTTTTTGAAGTTAAGTTTATGAACCTTTTCATAAAATTAGAATTAACTCTAAAGATTGAACAAGAAGGTCCTTCCTTTTAATTGGAATTAGTATGGAGGTGTTCTTATGATATCTAATTGATCTACAATTATATCTTGAAGCGTTTAAGCTGGTGCTAGTCTTTGCTAATCTTAAAGCCTTGAATTCAAATTACAAATGAAGACCATTATAGAAAATGCTTACTACTGGGCTTTTGCATGGTTCCTCAGTAATGCTAGATACATTAGTTCTTGTGTTTATTGTATAATATACCTCTGGTTTGACATGCTCTTTGATGATATTGTCTCATCAAGTGATGTAAGATCATATAAGTAGTCCTTAAAGATTGAAGAAGTGGCCCCTTACTTCATCGTATACCTCCATTTAGGACATAGCTCCTTATAAAACTTAATTTTGCATGGTCTCGTTGATAGAGATTTTGATGCCATTTTTTATATATTAAATGAGAATCTTTTACAGGCTTACCTCATAAAAGTATTGTTCTTGCCAGAATATGCTTACCTCATAAATGAGAATCTTTTACAGGCTTACCTCAAAAAATCATTTGTGTGTTGGATTTATAAGTTGAATTTTCTGAGAACTTTATAGTCTATTCATGTAAGAAAGTTGCAAGACCATATTGAACGTTACTGGTGATCCTTCATCCTTGGGTATTTTTTTATTATGCCTTTTTGGGTTGATGATGTGTTAATTATGATAGATGTCAAATAAAATTCATGATGTTGAAGAAGTGGTGGAGATTACTCCTTCACAAGGGGTGGGAACTTGGCTTGAAGAGACAAAGCTTTATTTCATAGATCTGATGGAGGAAGAAGTAAAAAAAGGGAAATAGGCACACTACTACCTTTACTAGGACGACTTGGAAATTCATTGAGGATAAGTTGAAAAAGAAGACTGGGAAGGAATACACACAAGAACAACAAAAAAATAAATTTAATCAACTAAAGCAACGATGGAGAAATTTGAAAAGTTTATTGATAGACACGACAATTGGATATACTATTAGCACCGGTCAAATATCCACAACAGAGGATGTGTCGAAAAAATTATATGTGGTAATTCTTAATGTATTTTCTCAATTTTTATTACTTCAATAGTTTGGGTTTATTGTTTTTTTTTTTTTTTGGTTCACAAACTCACAAGTATGCGAGATATTTTAGGAGGAAAGGGTACAAAGGTTATGACAAGTTGTGCATTATTATTGGTGATACAACTGCTATTGGTGATAATATTCATCCATCTACCAAAAGTCCTACTATTAGTGATGATGATAAAGAAGAAGATGAAGAGAAAGAGGAGGAGGAAGTAGAGTCATCTCGGGCTAAGAAAAAGTCAAAAGTAGGGGGAAAATGGGTACAATTGAGACAACAAGTCAAATTAGCAATGGTGGAAGCTTTTACCTCGATGGGCGAAAGCAATAGGAAGAAAATGGAATGGAGGGAGAGGAAAATGAGTTTCACTTATGGGCATAGTCATGTTAGCGGTGCTATTGGTCCTTCCGGAGGTTCAAATGAGATTGTGAATTGTATTACCGCGCTTAGTGCTCTTGAAGGGATTGACTCAACTCAATTTTCAAAAGCTACGCATGTCTTACATGATGATATGGTATGGAGAACAATGTTCCTAGCGATGCTCGATGAGAGAAAGAAAGAGTGGGTGTTATGTCGTCCATGATGTGTGCTTGTATTAGGTCAAGGATCTTTCTAGTTGTCTCTTATTATGTTGTTTGTAGTAGTTTAAGGATCCTTCTATTTATCACTCGTTATGTAGTTTGCATTAGCTTGAGGAACTTTTTAATTGTCTTTAGTTATGTTATTTGTACTATGTTGAGGACATTTGTATGTGCTTATTTATGTTGTTTGCATTAGGTTGAGGACATATGTATTTATTAATGTGTATCTTATCTATGGCTGATTTGATGTTGAGATACTTTGCATTGTTTATGTTTATTTATTTCTATGGAAAAATGAGATGTGGATCGACGATTGATTATCTTTAATTAGTGTCCTATCTATGCTTGTGATGGCTGAGGAATTGATTATTTATTTCTAACTGCATATATTTGTTTATAGGTATGGATACCGATGTAGATGATTCTCAATCATCATCACCTTCTGATTCCGACTCTGAATCAGATGAAGAGAAATTTGAAGCGATGTTGGTCATTTATGCAAGTATGAAGTGTAGTGCATTTTAGAATAAGAAGGTTCGACCGCAAAGGATCTCAAAATTAAAAGGACACGACTAGGTGATTGAGGTCCTAGGTGGACATCCAACTACTTGTTTTGACCTTTTTTGGATGCAAAAAGGGGCATTTGTTTCCCTTTGTGAAGAGTTAAAGAGAATTGGAAAATTAAAACATTCTACAAATATAATGGTTCAAAAACAAGTAGCAATATTTTTATTTGTGCTCTCTCATAATAAACGACAACGGATAGCTGCGGATCATTTTCAACATTCATTAGAGACTATCTCTAACTATTTTTAAGAAATTCCTCTATGCAATTTGTTTTCGTAGCAAATATGTGATTATGCCTCCATCATATGATGAAGTTTCATTGGAGATATCAATTAAAACAAAGTATTATTCATTCTTCAAGGTATGAATATATTTCTTCTTTATAAATCCATTATATGTATTGTTGCTTTATCATTGTTATAAATGTTAATATATACTATTTTTTTGCATTATAGAATTGCGTAGGGACAATAGACGGTACTCATGTTTCAGCTCGTGTACCTCTAGATGATCAAATCTCATATCGTGGAAAGAAAATTGTACCAACAATGAATATGATGTGTGCTTATTCTTTTGATATGCGGTTCATATTTGTTATGAGTGGTTGGGAGGGTAGTGCAAATGATTCCAGAATTTTCTTTCACCATTCCTCCTACAAGAAAGTACTATTTGGTTGATTTGGGTATACCAACATGCGGGGTTTTCTTTCACCATATCATGGAGAGCGCTATCATTTGCGTGAGAATAGAGGGCAAAATATTCCTCCACAAGGTTCCAGAGAGTTATTCAATTACTTGCATTCTTCATTAAGAAATGTTATAAAGTGATGCTTTGGGGTGTTGAAGAAACAATTTCTGA